TCAAAGACCTCTCAGCGACAAGGTCCTGAGCTCCTCCGATGACAATGGCCAAATTTATATCGGGGAAGCTAGAAGCTCCTCCAGGAGAACCAAAGGCTCCAAACAGCAACAGTTAGGGGAACCCACAATGCCTCACTCTCCCTCTCCATGTCTCTTTTTATGCTGGCAACTTTCCTCAGGTGGACCATTTACACTCAGCACCATGCCAATTTAATTTTGCTGGTGTTAAGTTGACCACCAGTTTTAATCCATACTAATGTACTACAAGGATATACCAATAAAACAGGTTTTAAAAGTTACATTTTTCCAGCTCTATTGATATGTAATTGATAAAAATTGTGTATGTTTATGGTATACAATGTAATATTTTAATATACATAAGACATGAAATAAGATATAATTGTTAAATCAACATTGTGATGTAATGTTTTGACACACATAGACTTTGTGAAATAATCATCACAATCAAACTAACTATGACCATAGCTATAACCTTAAATTTCAGTGCAAGTGTGGCAAGAACATTTAAGATCTACTCTTAGCAAATTTCAAGTATACAACACAGTACTGCTAACGCTAGTCACCGTGTCACATTAGATCTCCAAAACCATTCATCGTGCATTACTGATACTTCAAGGGCTTTCATTAACTTCTAAAAACGTGTTAGTGTGTAAATCACATGCAACATTTGAATATGTATTCAGCAGATCTTGGTCATATTCGGTAATAAGGTAATGCTAAAGCTCTAAAACTGTTGGAAACATACTTAAGGTGAGTAGAATAATGTATTTGTTATGTATTTCCTACTTATGTTCTGTACTTTTGCTCTTGATCAAATAGAGAAAATGTCAAAATACTCAGAGAATATGCAAAAGAAAAAATAAGAAGTTACTGTATTTTTATTTAATTGGCACATATAATGACAAAGCATTTTCACAATTTAACTCACCTTTACATTTCAGAGCCAAAATTGTGACTGGTATATGCAACAGATCAAGTATTAAGAGAGAGAAAAATGCTTTATTAAATAAAACTTACATACTAGTAAATATAGCTATGCCCCAAAATCCAGATAGCCTATTTACTTCTTCAAATTGAATTAAAGAAAACTTCAAACAGTGAGCAAAATAGTGTTATTTTTAAGGCATTTTGAGCTCAGAATCAATGAAAGGTTCTCAAAAAAAAAAAAAAAAAAAAAAAACAATGCCAATTACATAATATCACTTTTTAGCATGAGAGCTTTTGCTTCCAAAGTTTAAACAGCTTTTGAAGGAAGTGAGTTTTGTCCCTGTCCTTACAATAAGTAGAATAAAGTGTTTCATGTAGTTTAGAAAAACTCTCAACCTTTTAGCTTTAATTATTGTTTAGCATTTATTCCTAGTGCTCTCCTTTGGAAAAAAAAATGTTTTCTTCTTTTGTGTGCTGTAGAAAGGAAGGTTAAGATGATCACTTATGACATTGTAAAGTGGTGCTGAGAAGTCCCATGTCAGCTCCATGGTGGTCTTCTCACCCAGGAGAGAGGAAGTCTGAACTGTTGCACTGTTTGGAGCAGTAGAGGCCTTTACCCACCTGCCTTGGTCAAGCCACCCTGATCTCCATTCCTCGCCCCATCATCCTCCCAGGGCAGCAGCGGCCAGAACCGCACCTCTGGGAATCAGGGCCATGCAGCCAGCCACCTAAAGGACAGATCTTTCCTCCAGATGTCACTTCTTATCTCTTAATGGCTGGCAAAATATTGATTTTCTCCCTCCCTCACCTTCTCCACACCACCTAGTTACCACGCTTCTGACAATACCTGTGTACCTTGACATGAAACCTCTTCTTTGAAGGGGAGCAAATGGGATGCTTAGAAGCACCCAGTGAAAAGTTCAGGTCAGTACTTTCATTGGGAGTCTTTTCCTTGCCCTGTTGGGTGGAGTTTGTGTTTAACAATCTGCTGACATGGATAGAAACACAGCAAACAGTGCCTTCTGTCCCACAGGCCACCGACAACCGCCTCCAGAGCTACACAGTGGGAGACAGAGTCTGGGACGGAACAGTGAGGTGGAGCTGTAGCCTCTGAATTCTTAGGGCTGGAAGACACTGACAGGAAACAGATGGGACACCATTGGCCTTGCCACTGACAGCATTGAGGACACATCTTATCCAACTTCTCTACAGTTCTATCAGGAGAGAAAAGACTCACACAGCCTGTGAATGCCATTTTAATGTTTTCTTTTGCTTTCCTTTTTAACCTGCAGCCATCCTGGAGCATGTTCATCAGTGTCTAATCATCCATCGGTGGCCCAGGCTGATCACAGTAAACCTCTAGGTAAGACCAGCACTGTAACAAATACATTCTTAGCCTTTGGCAAGCAACTGTGTTGAGGCATGCATAAAGCCCCTCCTTTCTTCTACTGGTAGAGAAAAAGTAAGTTCAGAAAAGAGCTGCTTGAAATGCTGGTATTGAATGCGCTGGCCTGGGGAAGTCAAAACTGCTGCTGGAGAACTTCATAGCAAGAGGCCAGGATTTTCTCTCCTTGTTCTCTCCTAAAAACTGGATACGGCTTTCCTGAAAGCAGGCTGTCTCTGTGCCAAAGCACATACAGAATATGTGCACACAGTGTCCCCTTTCTATGTCCTATTGATGCCATTTATTCTATGTACTTCAGGGCAGAGCCAGTAATTTATGGAGTGGGTCAGGACAGAAAGTCCCTCTGGCGTATCAAGGCCTTGTGAAGAGTCCTTCCCTGAAGGACAGATGTTCGGTGACAGTAGAAAAATTTACAAGATAAAGCTTCCTACTTTGCTCCTATAAATCTCAATTCCTATCTATAATTATGATTATATCTTACATTTATTTAGTGCTTACTCTGTGCCAGGTACTATTCAATGCATTTTATGTATTGTAATTTATTTAACTCTAATAATAGCTGAACAGAGGGAGCTCTATTACCTCATATGAACTAGAAATAAGACATATAACCACTTTGTGAGCATTTCATAGGAATCACATAATGTAGAGCTTGTGGAAACCATGGACATAGTGTCCAGTTTAGAGTCCCTTTACTTCTTGCTTAATGACAGACTTGAAATGCAGATCAGGTTTAAGGAATAAATTTGAGGTGATATGATAGCCAAAATACAATACGGTTAAATAAAATTGCCTGTGGAAAGAAAAGGTTTGTTAATATAAATGTTTGTCTGGAAACTAAATTTGCATTCTCTGAACCAAACTGACACCAGCCCCTAATGAACTGGCATATTTTGGGCAAAGAAGAAAGTTTTTCACCCGTACTCATTCCTTATGCTCAATACCTAGACCTTATGATATTTCAGCTGCCACTTCTCATGCTTTTTCATTCTTCTGTTCATTCATTCACTCATTCATTCATTCATTCATTCATTCAACAAATACTTAATATGTTCTGGCTCCGTGCCAGTCCTTAGACAGGTATTAGGTCTCAGTGGTGAGGTCACACATTTTTGCTCTCACAGGGCTTCAGGGCTGGAGGGGAAGACAATTATCAACTGATGCATGAATGGTTATACTGTTCCAGACAGAAATCTAGTAACGTGGCTCAGGGGCCCTATGGAAAGGGCTTTGAGCCATGGCAGTAGCTTTATGAAATATAATCCCTCTTTCACTTGTGATGACATTTGACTTATTTCAATTTAAAATGATTTTAAAATAATATTTTCTGGACATGCTAGACTGACATTGCCTAGTTAGGCTAAACATATATTTCAAATGTATGCACTTTAAATCTGTCACACGAATAAATATGCGTTGGCTTGTGGAATTCTCCTTTACAGGATTACGTACAACAGGGCATTTCATTGGCTGATTAAATGTCATGTTTAAATAGATTGACTTTTTCACACTACTACCATTCATATTCTTGCTCTGAGAATTGGCTACTACTGATACAACTGATATTAGCAATAAAATAGGCATCTGCAAAAGGAACATTTAAAGACTAACCGAGGGGACACATTTACAGATTTATATTTCCTGGAATCTCTCTATATCAATACAATTGTGTTCCTTTGTTTTAAAGTGTATCAGCTACTATTTTATTTATAGGAAAAGATTATTCTGCACAGTGACTAAGTAGATTTTGCTAATATTTAAAAAACTGAGATGAGATTCTACCTGACACTACACCCACAGAGCAAAGCTGATGAGCTTCTGAAAGGCTGTTTCCAGGTGTTAAGTAGATCGATTTACAGATATTGATCCAAGCATCTGTGGAAAATATTTCCTCTGCTGTTTTCCTTGATATTCTCGCCTCTGGCTACTCTATATTTCTTTCTACCAAGAAAGTAATTAGGAATCATGTCTAATAAGCTCACACAGTCTCTGTGGATCAGATACGGAAACCACATTCTAAGAAAATGGAAGAAAGCTGACCTGCACGCTCCGGTGCTTTACATGAAACCCACTGACTAGGAACAAATTCTAAAGGATTCAACTTTGCCGGCCTGGACGCTGTTTCTGTTTCCGGATAGCTAAGCAGAAGAAACAGGCGAGGGGCGCTTTGGAGGCATCGAATTACGAGAGCTGGAAAAAGCTGTTGGCTCAGACAGACAGCTGGAAAATCCTATTTGCAAACTAGCTCCTGCAGGCTTTTTAATGGCCACATTGGGATTCAATTTTGCAAGAAGAAGATGCACTCCTGTCAGAGGTGAAAAAGAGGAATAATGTCTCTCTACTCTACCGGAAACATCATTCCTTGGATGAATGAACCACACAAACGGTACTCCAATGCGCAGAACTGACCCAGCAGGTGAGACGCGGGACAGGCGGAGCGGAAGGCGGTGACAGCAGGGGGTGGCAGAGTCCCTTCCCTTGCTGCTGACACCTGCCGCGACTCAAGTGCCCCCTGCTTATTGCAGCTGGATCCCCGCAACAGCTCCCGAGTGGACAGCAGCCCCGCGCCGTCGCCGCCTGATACCAAGCAGTCCCTCCTGGGAAAGGGGATCCTCTGGCATCTCGACCCTAGAATCTCATCGCGGCCATGGCTGGAGATGCCCCACACCCCTCCGGGGCGCGCCCGCGGCTTGTAGCGCTCGCCTGCCTGCTCCTGAGTTGCCGCGCGCTGCAGGGTCAGGTACCTTTGCATGGAAACGAGCTCCACCCGGCGCTCTACCTGCCTGCCTGGGGAGCACTTGATGACAGCGACACCGCGGGTCCCGGCGTCCTGATTGCCAACCCCGGGCTCCGGGTGCCCCTGGGCCGCTCGCTTTGGCTCGACCCGCTCCGGGACCTGGTGATTCGCGTGCAGCCTGGAGACCGATGCGAGGTGATGGTGCTGGACGTGCAGCCCCTGCACCGCGGCGCGCTCAGCCCCCGCCGCTTCCCCTGCGCTTTCGGGGCGCGTCAGGTGCGCTACACACACTTTGGCTCGCGCAGCCCCCCGCGCGCCCGGGTACGGCTCCAGCTGCGCTACGAAGCCCCAGCCAAGACGCTGTTGCTGCCCTTTACCTTGATGGTGGACGTGGTCTTCTCCCGGCTGGAGCTGGTGACGCGTAACAGGCCGTTGACCGTGTTAAAACTGCGGGGTTGGAGCCAGGCCATCGACCGGAGCGTGCTGGGCTTCCCTTCCCCGGAGTCCTGGGGCGCGGCCACCCGCACGTGCCGGCTCACCGTCCTTCCTCTAGAGGGCGGCCCACAGCCCAAGTACGGGCGCCTGGTGGACGCTGTGGGGGTCCCCCTCCCCAGGGGAAAGCTGGTGGACTGTGATGCTTTTATCCGAGCTGGAGTGCGATACCAGCACATGGCCACCACCTCCTCGCCCAACAGGGACTACGTGCCCATGATGGTGGAGCTGCTGCGGCCACAGGGAGGAGACACGGGGTCAGTGGAGGTGCTGGGCCGTGAGCACTTCGAGCTGCTAGTGAGAATCCAGAGAGGAGCCCCGAACGCTGTGCCCAGGCCCAGCCTCCTGGCCACGAGGATGCTGGAGGTCAATCAAATGGTGTTGACTGCCCTGACCCCTGATACCCTGGCCGCGGAGGACGATGAGTCTGGCCCTGAGGAGCTGGTGTTCAGCATTCTTAATGTTCCCGCAGTCCACCCAGGGCACTGGGGACAGTTTGGTTACGTGGTCAGCACCGATGATCCCTTGGGCCCTCCAGTGTCCTTCTTCACCCAGAAAGAGCTGCAGGAGCTCAGAATTGCTTATCAGCCCCCTAGGGAGAGCTCTGCAGAGGACCTCGTCTTCCATCTGGAACTGGAGGTGACAGATGGCAATGGCGCCACCTCAGATCCTTTTGTATTCACGGTGGTAGTGAAGCCCGTGAATGCCCTGGCTCTGGTGGCTAGCTATGCCACACGACTACTGCTTTTTGAGGGTCAGTTCAGGCCTCTGTCCAGTGTTCATAACCTTCAGATCAATGACAAAGAAAACCTAGAGGATGTGAAAATTACTGCGGTCAAGGGCTTGAGACATGGGCAGCTGGTGGTTCTTGGGGCACCTACTGGGTGCAAGTATTTCTCAGCAGGGGACCTGGCAACAGGGCGAGTGGTGTACTATCATGATGGCAGCGACACCTACAGTGACAACATTGTCTTTCAGGTGGAGGATGGGCACCACCTTGTGGAGTACCTCCTCCCCCTCACCGTCATACCTGTGGATGATGAACCTCCAATAATCACTGCCAACACAGGACTCACACTGACTGCAGGGCAGGTGGTCCGCATCTCCCCCTTTGTCCTGAGTGCTACAGATATTGATTCTGAGGATTCCACCATCCTCTTTGTGTTAGAGGATCAATCCCTAGAGAGAAATGAGAGTGAGTGGGAAATGGCCTCTGGTTCCTGCCACTCTAGCCAGCGTCTGGGGGAGATGTTGCTACGGCAGGTTGAACCACCCCAGGCCCTTCTAAACAGTGACTGGCGTTATACAGAAAAGGAAGGGTTGTATGAGATGGTGGTGACTGAGTGGCTGCAGAGAGACATCATGGAAGGAAGACTTTTCTACCGCCACGTTGGCCCACACAGCCCTCAGTGTGTAATGGCCCACCTGGCCTTCCATGTGGAAGATGACCATGACCCACCCAATCTGTCCAACCAGCACTTTTTCACCATCCAGGTCAAGCCAGTGGATATGCTGAGTCCAGAGTTACATCCAGGAACTACTCTACAGATGACTGTGCAAGGGTATCAGCTCACACACTTCCAGAAGAAATTCCTCCAATATGTTGACCAGAACTCAGATGACCAGAACCTGTGGTACACCCTACTGACACCCCCAATGGACACAGATAGCAACCACCAAGTACAGGCCGGAGAAATTGTCCTTACTGATTCACCAGACATACCCATCATGTACTTCACCCAAGCCCAGATAAATCACCAGAAGATTGCTTACCAGCTCCCCGACAGAAAACTGGGTATTATACCTCGGGTTGTACAGTTCACCTACCAGGTGGAGGACACTGCAGGAAATAGTGTGCCAGGAACATTCACAATTTTCCTGCAGCCTGTGGACGACCAGTCTCCAGAAGTCACCAACAAAGGCTTTACTGTCTCAGAGGGAGACAGGTTTATCCTCAGCAGTAATGAGCTAGATGTTACAGACCATGACACAGACATTGATAAAATTGTCTTCATATTAATCAGGGGTCCCCAACATGGTCACTTACAACACTTTAAAAAACATATGATTCCAGGGGAATCTTTCACGAGAGCTGATATTATTAACGGGAGTGTCTCTTACCATCACAGCAGAGACCAGTCCACCAGTGATGTCTTTCTTCTGGAGGTAAGTGATGGAGTACACCATATACCCATCACTGTCAGGATTTCGGTGCATCCCACTATGGCAGACAAAAGTCCCAGGATCTCTATCAAAGACAGTCAATCATTGGATATTTTCATAGATACACTAGAGAACAGTGCCACTGAAGTTACTATGGGTGTTTTTCACAGCAGGAAGGACATAAATGACTTGATGTTGTCTTTCATTGTGGAAAACAGCCCCAAATTGGGCACTGTCCTGGTGAATGGTTTGCCCACAGAACGATTCACCCAAGGAGACCTCCTCAGTGGGGTAGTAACCTATGTCCACACTGGAGGGAAAGTTGGTTTCCAAAAGCAGCATGATTCTTTCAGTCTCATCCTCTTGGAGGATTCTTATTCCTGGGTAGTGGGAGACTGCAAAATGAAGAAGATTCATGTGCAAGTGACTGTGTTGCCAGTGGACAGTGCAGCCCCCAAGGTCACAGTGGGGGAGTCCTTCATTGTCTACGAAGGTGAGAAGAGCCCCTTGACCTTGAGACATCTCAACATTGAAGATGCAGACACTCCTCAGGATGAAATCCTATGTACAATGGTTGTGCAGCCAGCCTCTGGCTACCTGGAGAACATTGTTCCAGCTCCTGATTCAGAAGTTTCACAGGCTGGTAATGCCATCAGTGCCTTTTACATCAAGGATTTGCAAGAGGGACATATCAATTATGTACAGAGTATCCACAGAGCAGTAGAACCACAAGGGGATCAATTCAAATTTCATTGCTCTGATGGCATCAATTTCTCCCCACATATCTTCTTCCCTATCATCATCTTACCCACCAATGATGAGCAGCCTGAGCTTTTTGTCCATGAGTTTCTGGTATTAGAAGGGATGAGCCTGGTCATAGACACCCCACTGCTCAGTGGAGCAGATGCTGACCTACCACCAAATAAGCTTCGATTTCAACTCACAGTCCTCCCTCTCCATGGACGAATCATACAGCAGCTGGCCACAGGTAACCAGCCCATCCGCAGCTTTACCTTATATGAGATCCAGGAGGCGTCCACCATTGTGTATGAGCACGATGACTCTGAGACCACAGAAGACAGTTTTGAGATCTGGCTGAGTGATAGCAAACACACCACCCACACAAAAGTACCCATCGTGGTGATCCCTGTGAATGATGAAGTCCCTCAGCTGAGCATCAACCGTGGGCTGAGTATAGAGACTGGACACTCTAAAGTCATCACAAATCAGGTCCTTAAAGCCATAGATCTTGATTCAGATGGTAAGAGCCTCAGCTTTATCCTCCATTCTGAGCCTCAACAAGGGCTTCTACAGCAAATGACAGAACCTGAAGGAGAAATAAAGAGCAATCTCACTTCGGGAATGAATTTTACCCAGGATGAAATTGACAGAGGCCTCATCTCTTATACTCACACAGGCCAAGAAGAGGTTGTTGATCTTATCAAGTTTGATGTAACTGATGGGGTTAATCTTATAACAGGATGCTACTTCTATATTACTATTGGCAACTTAAATAGGGTCTTCCCTGGGGTAGTCACTAAAAGGATCACCTTGATGAAAGGGGACAGAGCGACCCTCACCACTGAACTGCTTAACGCAAGTGACATTCACAGTCCTAGTGAACAACTTCACTTCAGCATTACACAGGCTCCTAGCCAGGGCCACTTGGAATGTTCTGACCAGCCTGGGGAGTCTATAGCCTCTTTCACTGAGCTTCAACTGGCTAGCAACAAAATATCCTATGTCCATATTTCAAATGATGAGATAAAGAGAGATAGGTTTGAGTTCACAGCCACTGGTGGTCATAGCTCTGTTTTCAGTACATTCAGGATCTTCATCATGGTTAGAGGCAGCAGGAAACCTATCTTGACCATCCATGAACTAACTCTGCAGGGAGGGGAGAGCAAACTGGTCACTTCTTTAGAGTTGACAGTGGAAGATGAGTGGAAGATGAGGATACACCAGATGATTTTATTCTCTTTACAATCACTCAAGTCCCAGTCCATGGAAAGATTTTATATAACAGTAGCCATTCTGTGACTACTTTCACCAAACAAGATCTCAATGAAAATCTGATTAGCTACCAACATGATGGCACCGAGACCACTGAAGACAGCTTCTCCTTGACTGTGACAGATGGCACTGGTGTTGATTTCTACGTCTTCCTGGACACTGTCCTGGAGACCCACACACCTCAGGTAATGAAGATCCAGATAATCTCTTCTGATGACAGGGCTCCCCACATTGTGGTTAACAGAGGTGCCCCAGCTCATTGCCTGGAGCTATGAGCACCTTTCCAATGGACACATAGGCTTCCTCATCACCAGTAAGGCTCTGAAGGCAGGAGATCAAGACAGTCTTCACAGGCTCCTGAAGTATAAAGTGACCAGGGGGCCGGAGCATGGCTTCCTTATCAACACCGCCCTTGAAGATGAGCGCATTCGAATGTTTACACAAGGTCAGTCTCATCCGTCCTCCATGCCTGTGTCACCCTCCTTCAGAGGAGGTCGCTCAGCAGTTTGTAAAACTATTCTGAGCCCAGCCCATTTGCAGTAATATCTGCTTCTGTACAACATGCCGAGTAGAGACAAAAAAGGGAACAACTTCTTTTCCAGCTATTTCATCAGCATGCCTATGTAACAGGAGCTGACTGTTATTTAATAAAGCTTGTAATTATACCTTGAAATTATAAAACAACAGGAGGGCAGCTTCAGTTTATAAATACTATATATTTGCATTCGTTTCTATAATGTCAGCTTGGCTTTGAGTTTTACGAGTGACATCTAGAAAGTCTTTGTATATCTTCTTAATATCTAGATATTGAAAGATTTTTTGCTATGTAGGGCATGAGTATAAATTGTTACACTGCACATTTTTAGTGTACTATTCAAACGTAATTTCCACATCTAAAAAAAGTATAGAACTGAGTTTGCCTAAATGTGTGAAGGGCTATATTTTAATGATGATTTTTTTGTTATATTTGTGTTACTACTAATTATGAACTAAAGACAAGTCCCTGTACTCTCACAAGTGATGTAGCCTAGTATCTCGTGGCTGCTCTTCATGTTGGCTTACAACTTCTTTAAGTAGCTTTCTGCGTGGGAGATAAAGAGATGTATAAAATTTCCCACATATAATACAAGTAAGATAGATGTAATCTCAGAGTACAAGATGCAGAAAGTGTTTAAAAAATAGTTATTTACAGTCTCTGAATTGCTTCTAAAGCTATGAAACTATGTATTGTATTATAGGAAATACATATGAAACTATGTATTATATTATAGGAATTTTCTTATCAATTCTCCCAAACAAATCATCTTTAAAATTCTAACAATTACCAATAAAATACAACTGTACATCCAAGAAATAAATTCTCAAAACCCTGAGAAAACAGGCAATAAACCCTGAGAGAACAGGCAATAAACCTGAGAGAACAGGCAATAGAATAAAAAAAACATGCTTTTATTTTCATGTTCTTTTCTTTCAAGGTAATTACTCTTATGTCAATTCATCTTGACAGTGTTACTGAGTATCCATCATTGTGCCAATTTCTATGCTTCCACAAGACACACTTGCCTGTCCCTAGAGAACTAGGATGCTGTAAAGCATGCACAGTGGGTGTGTCAAACATTACCTCAGAGAGCATGCATCTATTAGCACTATGAGCAAGACCTAAGTTAATTTTTGCCATTACAAATTAGCAGATTGAGTCATGTTCATTTCACTACTATTTTAAATTTTATTTATTACAATATGTCCATGCCCAACTAAAAGACTAAAAGTGGTTAATATCCTGGATCCAAGTCTCCAAGATAACTTAGTGTGACATTTGCTCTTTTTTGCAGCTGACATTGATGAAAGGCGGATCTGCTATGTTTTGAAGCAGGGCAGCAGAGCAACGAAGGACATCTTCTATTTCTCTGTTGAAGACAGTGGTAAGTCAACAGCAAGATCTTAAAAAGATCGGGGTGGTTAAAATCAGCACAAAACTGTCCAGGTGTGGTGGCACATACCTGTAATTCCAGAACTAGGGAGACTGAGGCAGGAGGATCACCATGAATTCAAGGCCAGCCAGGGCTACATAGTGAGTTCAAGGCCACATGAACTACATAGTGAGACCCAGTCTCAAAAAAAATAAAACAAATACAAAAATGGAAAAAACTAAATCATTTATATATAATCATCATAATCAGTAATGTCACACGTAATACCAACAAATGAATTATTTTCTCTTTAACACCTTATGCTTAAGGAATGATTCATAACAAATAAACTTAGGAAGAGAAAGCAATGAGAAATTTGAAGAGTAAGATGTGAAATATGTCCTTCACCTGGATTGCATGTGATGCCCTCAAAAGACACTGAATGTTACCTTCAGTAGATTTGGAGAGCTTAGCTAGTGATTTTTATCATTCTGAAATTTAAAAAAATAGAATATTACCTTTAGATTTTATTAGGATTTTCAGCTTCAGAACTGAGTCTTATGGCTCCCTCACCTATGAACTATCATCTTCTTGGATGAAATGAAAAATGAATCCTTTGGCATAGAAGAAAACTTGTTAAAAAGCTGCCTGTTCCTGCTGCATCCGTGTCTGTGCACTGTATCTTCTGTTATAAAGGCAGCACCTAGTTAACAAAAAGCATTTTTTTACACAGCTAGGGATACAATAATTATGCGTTCAGATGAAAAATCATTTTGCAATATAGCAGGATAATAGCAGAGATTATGCCTGTGTGCTGCTTGCCACTCAATAACCACTTTCAGTATAAATCATTATTCATTCCCAGCAGGAAACAAGTGCCTTCTGCCTATCACGTGCAACCTTTCAAAGGCTAATTTCCTGCAAAGTAGGCCGCATGAAAGGCCAGCTTGCAAGCTGGGTCTGAATCCCAACTTGCCCAGTGTGACCTTGAAGAAGTTACTTTGTCCTCTTCATTACTCATTCCCCCTTCTATGAAAAATTCATCTTCATGCCTATTCCAAAGGAATCCCTAGGAGGATTACATGAGATAATAATGTAAAGTTTTTGTAGCTACCATTTTTACTGCTTTCTAGGAGCCAGGCAGGACACAATAATATAATGTACTTTTAATATGAAGGCACTGTCTTTGATCAGCTCATCTGAAGTCCTCCACGTGATAAGCCAGTGAGGTGAAATCAAGTCTAGGTCTGGCCAATTCCAAAGCCAGGACTTTTAATTGCTAGTGCTGTACTAGTTATTTTTAGTGAAACTGTAACAATGGAAAGAAGTCGAAGAACAGGTCAAAGGCTGTTTCTAATCCAACAAAGAAACACTGTAAATTAAAGTGATAAGAATGATCCAGCAGACACTCTGAAGATTTGAGGATACATTTGTTGATAGCTAGATCTTAAAATATACATGCATAGTCATAAGCTAGTTAATTATTTATATAATCATTTGTTTGGTAAATTTTTAAATTGCCTCTGAAAGCCATGCACATAGCTAAGGTCCATGTCTACTAAACACAAACATTCTTGGAACACTTCCCAAGTACCTACAAAGATGAATATTTTTCCTGATATTTTTAAATTTGGTGAATCCATGTCTTCATAGTAGCCAACTTCATGTCTTTTCCTTTTAAGATATTCCCACTTTTATCTAGACATGGTGGGCATACCTATAATCCCAGAAATTCAGAGGCTGAGGTAGGAGGGTCTCTGCGAGTTCCAGGCCAGCGTGGGCTATAGTACCTTTAGAAGATTTCCATAAAATTCAGTGTCTAATGAAAACTACAATTTGATCAATTAATAGTTTAACAGAAATAGCTCCTCCCAGTCATGTAAGCTATTTCTGATGGAGAGACATATAGGGATATATTATCGTCCATGAACTGAAGTGGAATCTCTTGATGCTTGTGTTGTTGTTGTCTGCAGTAACAGTATTCAGAACATTAAGAGAAGACTGTGTCCTACTTCCACAACTATGCAACGGGCATATAGATCTGATGAACTCAGGAGTCCGATGGATAGAAGCACTCACAAAATGATCCTAGAGCTGAAAATTTTACCAAGTCCCCAAGATTGATATCATGAAGGTTTCTGGTTCATGGGATCTGAAACTAGGTACCTACACCCACATCTCACCTTCAACCCATAGTAGCTAGGTATCTTTGAAACCATAGTTTATTTTGTCCATCTGTGGATTAGAGATAGCCATACAATGTAAATGACAGGGTTATTATAAGGATTATTATTTTATTAATTTCCCATTGCTGCTTTAATAACCACAAATTGTATGGCTTAAAACAACACAAGCTGCCACCTTACAAGTCTAGAGATCAGAAGTACAAAATGGTTTTTCTTGCTGTACTAAAATCAAAGTTTTGGAAAGGTTGCATTTCTTTGTGGATATTCTAGATCCATGTCCTTGCTTTTTCCAGTAGCTTCTACAAGATGGTCATTCCTTCACCTGCAAAGCCACAGTCAGCCTACTCTTTCTTATGTGTCCTAACTCTGACACTTGCTTCCCTCTTTTATTTCTGCAGACTTTTGTGATTATATTGGGGCCAGCCTAGCAATCTAGACTAATTCCTCTATCTCAAGATCCATCATTTAATCACTTCTGCAAAGTCCCACTTGCCATGTAATATAACACATCCTCAGACTCCAGGAATGAGTATTTGAGCATCTTTAGCGGCCCATATGGATGAAAGGAACTAATACACATGAGATTCTTAGTAGAGTACCTGGGACACAACACTCCATATATGTATGAAAGCCACTGGTATAATAAGGAACACATTTTACAATCTAAAGCTCTGAACTGTATCAATTAAGCATATTTCTTGGCTCATTAATCTTCATAGGTCATTATATTCTCAGATTCATAAATTTGCATTGAAATTTTGAATATATTTAATATATATACAAAATAGGTCTTTCCTAACTGCTGTATAATGTTACCTTATACTTGTTTAGCACTTAAAATTTCTGTCAAAGTGTTTTACATCATTCCATTAGTTTTATCCCATTTGAATCTTACCATAATCTGTGAGATAGGAATTACCTAAAATTCTAATAACACAAAAAAGTTTAGGAATTAAAATAGGTGCTGGGAACATAGCTCAGCAGCACAGCTCCTGCTTGGCAAATGCAGTGTTCTGAGTTTGATTCCCAGTACCCGCCATTACAACAACAACAAAAAAAAAAAAAAAGAAGAAGAAGAGGAAGAAGAGGAAGAAGAGGAAGAGGAGGAAGAGGAAGAAGAAGAAGAAGAAGAAGAAGAAGAAGAAGAAGAAGAAGAAGAAGAAGAAGAAGAAGAAGAAGAAGAAAGGCCAAGGGTATAGCTCATGGCATAGTGTCTGCCTGGAAAGTGCAGTGTCCTGATTTCAATTCCCCACCACCTGCCTCCCCACCAAAAAGAAAGAAAATGACTTACACAAAAGATCTGTCTAAGGCAACTGTGACAGTTAGGTTGGACTTTAACTTGATTGTCCTTGGACTCTGCCTCAAGGATCTATACGCACATTTCTAGGTGGGTCTAGGTGGATTGTAGAGGTGTGGCCTTAGGTTTGAGTATTTGGTCTGACCAATTGCCTCTGCTCTGCTTATGCAACGTAAGTAACTTTGATACCATGCCTTTATGGTTTGTGCCTTGATGTTCTCCAAAGCCTTGTGCAGTATGAGGGCAGGCTTTTCAGAAATGGTTGAATCTAGAGTTTGTGATTCATTTGTGGTCCAGTTCTGGGATAAAGGGTGTGAATGGTACACCTGCCCGAGGGAAGGTGGCCTGCATACAGTGTAAGGGAGAGAAGGAAGCTTTCCCCCTCACCTTCCATTGCTGCTTTTGCTGTCTTCCACCACCATGAACTGTTGCCGCCCTACCATACGCCACCTTGCCTTGGAGTCAGCCAATTATGGACTGAACCCTCTACAAACTATGCACCAAATAAACCTTTCTTCCTTTAACTTTGGGTGTTGTGTATTTATCTAAGTAACAAGAGAAAAATAACCAAGTCCTTCACCATCATATTTCTGCCTTGGAGCCAGCTGAACCTGGACAGAAAAACCTGAAACCTCTAAAACTGTGAGCAAAATCTCTCCACTAGTGTGTCTCTACCACACACACACACACACGCACTAAGACCAACTGATTAATACAGAAACCAAGTGAATTCTTTCCTATAAGCCTCACTGGAGTTATTTGCAACTAACATCATTTATTTTAATTTTTATTGTTTATTGATACAATTTAGATATACATAATGATTACATTCATCATAGGGAATTTATACCTATACATGATATAGCTTGAGTCTCCCTTTTCCCCCACTACCTCCCCTTCCTTGTAACCCTTTTCCTGTCATCTACAAAGCCTTGTTTCCATTTTATCCATTTTCATTTTTTCTTTTCCCTGTCTTCCATTTCAACTCCACCCCTTTTTCTTTTGAATAATTTTCCCCTATTTCACAATTTCTATTATACACTTTAATTCTCATTTACAGTTTCTTACATCAGAGAGACAATTCAATATTTACATAGGCATTTATTTCACTTAAGAGTACAGTCTTGAGGTGTTTTAATTTACCTAGAAATGTCTCAAATTTATACTTATGTATGGCTGACTAGTACTGTATTGAATCTTTTTAAAACATGAATTTTTTCATGCTTTCATCAGTTGGGCTTTTGGGCTGTTCCCAAGATAGCGATCTCAAACCCATTGCTACAAACATGGCTATATAATATATGTCAAAGTGGTATGGTGCTTTTAATTCTTTCAGAAAGATACCAAAAGGGGAAGAGTTGGGTCAAGTGGAGCCAATAGTCCTAGTTTTCTGAAGATTCTCCATACCGATTTCAACAGTGATTGCACCAGTCTACACTTCCACCAATAGTGGAAAAGTGTTCCTCTTTCCCCACACCCCTGCCAGCATTTGTTATTGGTAAATTTTCTTGATAATAGCCATCCCTTCT